ATAACCAATCATGACCACTCTTGAAGGAAATGTTAAAATAGAAAGCATTGCAAATAAACAAACTATTATGACAATTATATGGAAACTTTAGAACACAAAGATAGGAGAACTGAAACAAAAAACTCACTAGACATAGCCTCTGAGTGACAGTGTGTGCCTGTTGGCTCATGGATTCTGAAAAAATGTTCCACTGGGGTGCTGGGCCTCAAGAGCAGGGGAGGCTGTGCACATGGGGGTACAGGCTATACAGGGGAGCTTTCCATACTTTCTGCCCAATGTTGCCATGAATCTAAAACTGCTCTCAAGACCTCACTAGATGGACTCAATAGCACATGAAGGGGACAGTGAAAAGAGTTGGTCAACTTGAAAATACATAAACAAAAATCATCCAGTATAAGTGACAGAGAGCAAAACATTTAAAAATTAGAACCTCACTGGCCTGTGGCACAATAATAAAAGGTCTACCATCTGTGTCATAGGAAGTCCAAAAGGAGAGGAGAGAAGCATGTGGTGCTGAAAAGACATTTGGGAAAATAATGGCTGAAAATTTCCCAAGGTGTGGAAAGACACAAATGTAGGCCAGGCAAGGTGGCTCACACCTGTAATCCTAGCACTCTGGGAAACCGAGACAGGTGGATCATTTGAGCTCAGGAGTTCAAGACCAGCCTCAACAAGAGTGAGACCCAATCTCTACTAAAAGTCAAAAAACTAGCCAAGCATGGTGGCAGACGCCTGAACTCCCAACTACTTAGGAGGTTGAGGCAGGAGGATTGCTTGAGCCCAGAAGTTTGAGATTGCTATGAGCTATGATGACACCATGGCACTCTACCAAGGGCAACAGAGTGAGATTCTGTCTCAAAAAAAAAAAAAGAAAGAAAGAAAGAAAGAAAGAAAAGAAAGACACAAATGTACAGATTTGAGAAATTGAAGGAATCCTACAGGAGAAACCCAAAGAAATCTTCCTCCAGAAGCATTACAATCACACTGCTGGCAAATAAAATGAAGAAACAAATCTTTAAAGTAGCAAGAAAAAAAAACAATGTGTTATTAAAGGGAGAAATCATTCAAATGACTGCAGATTTTTTTCATTAGAACCTGTGGAGATTAGAAAGAACTGCTTACTCAGAGTTCTATGTCCAGTGAAAATATCCTTCAGGAAGGAAAGGGAAATAGACATTCACCAATAAATGAAAACTAAGATAACTTGGTCCCAGCAGACCTCCTCTAAAAGAATTGCTAAAGGCAGTTCATCAGACAGGAGTGAAATAATAACAGAAGGAAGCCTGGAATGTCACAATGAAGGAAAAATAGAATGAAGGACAAAAGCACACAACCACTTCAATAGATGCAAAAAAGGAAGTGACAAAATCTAACACCCTTTCACAATAAAAACACTTAACAATCTAGGGATACAAGGGAATTTCTTCAACCTAATAAAGGTACCCACAAAAACCTATAGCTAACTTCATAGTCAATGGATGGAAGATTTTCCCTTAAGATCAGGAATAAGGGCTCGGCACCTGTGGCTCAAGTGGCTAAGGCACCAGCCACATACACCTAAGGTGGTGGGTTCGAATCCAGCCCAGGCCTGCCAAACAACAATGACGGCTGCAAACAAAAAAAAGAAAAAAATAGCCAGGCATTATGGCAGGCGCCTGTGGTCCCAGCTACGTGGGAGGCTGAGGCAGGAGACTCGCTTGAGCTCAGGAGTTGGAGGTTGCTGTGAGTTGTGATGTCACAGCACTCTACCTAGGGGGATAGCTTGAGGCTTTGTCTCAAAAAAAAAAAAAAAGATCAGGAATAAGACAAGGATATCTCCTCTTGCCAGTTCTACTTCACATTACACTGGAAGTCCTAGACAAAGCAATGAGACAAGAAAAACAAATAAAAGGCATCCAATTTGGAAAAGAAAATATAAAACTATCTCTATTTGTAGATGACGTGATCTTATGGGTAATATATGGAAAATCCTAAGGAATCCACTAAAACCATTAGAACTAATAAATAAATTTAGCAAGGTGACAAGATACAAGAACAATAAGCAAAAACCAATTGTATTTCTATATACTAGTAATAAACAATACAAAAATTAAATTAAGAAAATAATTTTAAGAGGCAATAGCCTCTTATAGAATAAAATACTTAAGAACAAATTTAACAAAAGAAGAACAAGAGCCAGGCACGGTGACTCATGCCTGTAATCCTAGCACTCTGGGAGGCTGAGGCGGGTAGACTGCTTGAACTCATGCGTTCCAGACCAGCCTGAGCAAGAACAAGATCCTATCTCTACTAAAAATAGAAAAAATAGGGTGGTGCCTATGGCTCAAAGGAGTAGGGTGCCAGCACCATATGCCGGAGAAGGTGGCAGATTCAAATCCAGCCCCAGCCAAAAACCGCATAAAAAAAAAAATAGCCAGGCATGTGGTGAGCACCTATAGTCCCCAGTCACTTGGGAGGCTGAGGCAAGAGAATTGCTTGAGCCCAAGAGTTTGAGGTTGCTGTTAGCTATGACACCATAGCACTCTACCAAGGACAATTATGTGAGACTCTGTCTCAAAAAAAAAAAAAAAAGAAAGAAAGAAAATAAACCAAGACTTATATACTGAAAGGTATAAAAGATCATTAAAAGAAACTAAAGAAGACCTAAACAAATGGAAAGGTATCTCTGTTGATGAACCAGAAGACTTGATCTAGTTGATAGCAATACTACCCAAATTGATCAACAGATTCAATGTAATCTCCATCAAAATCCCAGTTGGCTGATTTGCAGAAATTGACAAGCTGATCCTAAAATTCGTATGGAATTTTAAGAAGTCCCAAATAGCTAAGACAATCTTGAAAAATAACAAAATTGGAGGACATAATGTCAAAATTTACCACAAATCTACAGTATTCAAGACAACATATCCTAGCATAAAGACAGACATACAAATCAATGAACTAGAATGGAAAATCCAGAAATAAACCTTCACATTTATGGTCAGTTGATTTTTGACAAGGCAATCCAATGTGGAAAAATACTCTTGGTGCCAGGACAACTGGATAGTCACACCATATGTAAAAAGTAACTAAAAATGGATCAAAGACCTAAATTAAAAAACTAAGACTATAAAACTCTAAGCAAAAAACACAAGGGTAAATGTCTATGACCTAGGGTTTGTCAACGTATCATATATGATACCAAAAGTACAAATGACCAAAGAAAAAGTAGATCAATTGGACTTCATCAAAACTAAAAATGTCTATACTCCAAAGGAGACACCAAGAAAATGAAAAGACAATCCACAGGATAGGAGAAAATACTGTACTTGTATTTGCAAATAATTATCTGATGTGACTTATACCCAGAATATATAAAGAACTCAAAAAAAGAAGGGACTTGGAGTAGAAGCAATGATTGATAGGTTTGAGAAAATTTTTTAGGAGTGATGAAAATGTTCAAAAACTGACGTGGGGTAATGGTTGCAAAATCTACAAATTTACTTTAAAAATCACTGGATGGTATATTTACAATGAGTAAATTTGTTTTGGTCTTTTTTTTTGGATACCGAGTCTCATTTTGTCACCCTTCGTAGAGGGCCATGGCATCATAGCTCACAGCAACCTCAAACTCTTGGTATTGAGCGATCCTCCTGCCTCAGCTTCTTGAGTAGCTGGGACTACAGGCACCCACCACCATGCCAAGCTATTTTCAGAGACAGGGTCTCCCTCTTGCTCAGGCTGGTCTCAAACTCCTGAACTCAGGTGATTCATCCCACCTTGTCCTCCCAGAGTGCTGGGATTACAGGCATGAGCCACCACAGTGGGCCTTACAATGAGTGTATTTTATGATATGTAAATTATACATCAATAAAGTTATAAAAATAAAGTAATTAAACACTACAGCCCATCCCCCAAAAAATGAATTCTTACAATTCAACAATAAAAAGACGAATGAGCCAATTAAAACATGGGCAGAGGACTTGAATATGGACATTTCCCCGAAGTGGATATATACAGTATAAATGGCCGATAAGCTAATGAAAAGCTCCTTAACATCACCGGTCATCAGAGAAATGCAAATCAAAATCATGAGATATTACTTTATACTTTGATTCTATGATGGCTATAATCAAAAAGACAGTAGTAAGTATTGTTGAGAATGAGGATAAATTGGAACCCTCCTACATTGCTAGAGAGACTAAAATGGTGCAGCCTCTGTGAAAAAGTTTGGTAGCTACTCAAAAAATTAAACACAGAGTCACCATAAGACACAGTAAGTAATTCTACTCCTGGCTCCCCCAGAGGATTAAAAAGAGGTGTTCAGTCAAAAAGTTATACAAGTATGTTCATAGCAGCATTACTCATAATTATCAAAAAGATAATAATAATAATTATTATTATAATAATTAAAATTCAGAAATGTTAAAGGCAGGCTAGAGACCCTCTGCCTGGCTGTGAGACAGGTTAGGGCCAGTGAGGGGCCTCTGTAGAGAAACCCTAAGTAGGCAGCATGTGGAGAAAGTGCCTGTGCCCAGGAGCTGGGGGCCTGACTCTGCTGCCATGTGGACTCAGGTGAGTTGTCACCTCCCCTTACTGCTGAGGGTGGCTGAGAGTTGGGTACCACAGAGTTAGGTGCAGAGTTGGGGCTGGCACCAGCCCCAGGCACTGGGGGAATATGTACCCCACTGGTACAGTACTAGACAAGAACGTAGTCATCAACCAAGGGCAGGACACACTCTCTGTCCCTTTGGTCATCCTGCTTCCACCTCCATAGTTGCCCTCGCCCCTTGGTGTGGGGGTAGCTGGGGTCTACCCAGGAAAAACCTAGCACTTGGTACCTCAGGGACACCCAGAGAAACAGCCTCCCCAGGCACATGGCCAGCTCCAGGGCCTGCGTAACTTCGACAGCCCTGGGGAAAGGAAATCCTCCAATCCCCATGCTGGTATTATCTAGGTCTCCAGCCCAGGGCAGAAAGTGTACACGTCCTCTATGGTGACAGTTGGGGGGCCCCTCTTACCTTCAGGAGTTCCTGGTCATCTGGTGCACACAGCATCAGCTCATGGCCTAATTTCACCATCTCTGTTGAGGCACAAAGATCCAGTGACTGCCAGTACCCACCTGACCAGAATACAACACCAGATACCTCAGAGGTTCACAACATGTGGGGCATCAAGCCTCTCCCAGGAGAGGATGTTCCTAAAGGCCCAGTACACGAGGGCAGGACCAGGCTGGACCAAGAAGCACGTAGGAGACATACCCAGGTGTCAGAGCTGCCTCTTGCTGTGTGACCTGCACTCACTGGCCATCAGTTTCCTCATGTGAAAACAAGGGCTATACCTAGCGCTCCTCCATGAGCAGGGCTCTCCCCACAGCATTAGCGGGAGCCAGCCCACTGCCTAAGAACACAGAAGTCAGAGGCCTTGGTGGGCTAAAGCAAAAGGAACTACCACTCACACCTGCTGATGTCCTAATGGTCTTGCATGTCACCAACTCCTATCATCTTGCCAGCAGCCCTAGCAGGTGGGCCTTAGTTCCATTTCACACGTGGGGAACCTGAGTTCCTGTGTGGTGCAGGGACCTTCCAGCCACATCTTGCAGGGTGCTCAGGACATTTTCCGGGTAACTGCCTGGTACACAGAGAAAAGCCAAAACTTGGAGCCAGGAAGCCTAGGGCTGGTGTCAGCCTCAACTCTGCATCTAACTGTGGAAAGTCAAGCTCCTTGAGACAAGGCCCTTCTCCAGCCCCTATGTGCCTCAACAACGTAACAGGCACAGCCCTGCATGGCATCTGCTTGGGAAGGCACTGCAGGAAGTAAGCAGAGTGTGTGGGGCACTCAGTAACCCTGCATAGACCACACAAATGCAGACTGTATCTCTCAAGCAAGCCTGCCCACCCACAGCCCTTAACCCCAAATCCTCATGACAGCCAACAAGACTAGCCAACCTTCCCCTCACTCTAAATCCAGGATCCAGCCAGTGTTCCTCTCCACTGCCGCCAAACTTTCGCTTGGATCAGCTACTGCAAGAGCTGTACCACTGTCCCTGCCTCTGCCCAGGGCGCCTACTCTTGGCACAGTGGGCCTGGGATGCTATCAAATCCAACATCAGGCAGCAGCCTGCCTCAGAGTAAAAGCCAAAGCCCTTCATGACCCACAAGGCCCAGCCTGATCCTCCCCGATGTCTCCTGACCTACCTCCTTGCTTTCCACTCCATGAGCCATATGGCCTCCTAGCTGGTCCTCAAAGCTGCCAAGCACAAGTTCACCTCAGGCCCTGAACACTACCCTCTACCCCCATGTGCCTGGCTCGCTTCCTCCCTTCCTGCCACCTATATCAGCAATACCAGCCTTACCCCAAGCCATGCAGGCACCACACTGTCCTCACCTGGCTGTTTACAGTGCTTCTCATCATCTGGTGCTAAGGCTCTTCCGGTCCCCTTTGTTCATCACCTGTCCCTCCCAGTGGGCACATAAGCTCTGGAAGGGCAGCACAATTCGCTGCTATGCCCCCAACATCCAAAACAGTTGACTTGCATACAGAAGGTGCTCTTTTGATACCTATCAGATGAATCAAGAACTATCCTAACCCCCTACTTGTCCTGGTTTCTCTCACACACTCTGATAAGACAGGCAAGATGGGGTTTTTAAACTCACTTTACAGAAAAGGAAAATAAGGCCAGAAGGATGAAGTCAAGGCTGTGGCTAGACTAGGGGACAGCCTAAGGCCCAAGGTCAAGGTCAACACATCTGTCTGTGTGTGTTAGAGAATTCAGGCACCATCTCATGGCCTCTGGATGGTCCTACCAGTAGGCAAGAAACAGACACAACAGCTTGAGGGACAAGGACAGCACTTCTATGTGGCCCAAGTCAGCCTACTAAGATACTACATCCGGTTCTTCCAGCCCAGTTCAGCTGCTGGGAGGAGTGTCCCTGATACAGCTAGGGCATGGATCAGGGCTCCAGGGTCCAGTTTGTCCACCCTAAAGCGGTCAGAACAAGGCACATGAAAAATTGGACCTTTGAACTTCCATCAACTTTTGGAGACATCACTGTGAAGGTGAAAAGTTATTCATCTCATGTTTGTTAGCAGGTTACGGATGGTTTCCACCAGGAAATGATGGCAAAGAAGAGTTACAAGACAAGCAGGTACAGAGTGTCATGCATGCTCCCAGGAATGTGCAGTGTGTAAGCACGTACCAGGAAGATAAGGAGACAGAGCTACCAGATGTGCTGACAACAATCACTGTATCTGCCTCCTAGGGCTGCAGAGCAGAGACATGCTCTTGGTCCCTGTGAGAGGAGCTCTTCCATTCACCATTCCTAGAGTCAAGGGTCCCTAATTCTAGAAGGCTCTAGCAATATCCACAGAGTATATACCATCCAAAATAAAACACCAGTCTGGTGGAAAATTCACTACAACTCAGGAAGCCTATAAAGTTCAGAAATGCCCAGAACTTGCCAGCAAATTCCACACTCCCATAACAAAACCTACCTTGGATCTTCACCTCTGCCGGGGCCCCCTTCAGTGAGCTAAACTTGTCCTGCAAGGTGGGACAGACCCTGTGGGAAACAGCAAAGCCAGTCAGGCCTGAGGAGGATGGAGAAGATGACCCCACGCAGACACTTGCTCTGAAGAGTGACTTGCTTGTATATGTGCTAAACACCACTTTAACAGGGTTAATTTTATGTTAATTTCAATCCCTAAATTATTACAGAAAAACATCTCAAAAAGTTTATATCAGAAATGTGCATTGAATACTGAAATAAAAATCCTTCTCATAGTTAACAAAGAAAAGACATAACCACACAGGGGAAAGAGGGAACTCCTCAGCACTCAGCTCTTTCTTGAAATGGTGGTACTAGCTGGCTTTGAACATGTCAACCAGGCCTCTGGCCCTGGCCCCAAGGCTGCCATATCCTCCTCTTGGGTGGAGCATTGTCCTCTTTCCCAGCCAGAGTGCACCCCACCACCAGCTCCTGGCAGATGTGGCCTTCCCTGGGTTGCCTATAGCCACCTTGGTGTCTCTCTGTCTCAGTAGGGCCCAGACAGGGTCCTTCTACTGGGCTCTCACAGGCTTTCCATTCTGTATTGCTGAGACTTAATGCAGTGGCTGCTTAGTGTCTAATGAATGAACAACCTCACCTCTCATAGTGGAATACTCTGCCATTAATGAATGCCAACACTTAGCTCTTTCTGGAGAGGGGTCAAGCACACAAGCAAGCCCCATTTCTGTAAATAAAGTTTTATTGGCACTCATCCCTGCCCATCCCTCCATATGCTGTCTATGGCTATTTTTCTGCTATAATGGCAGAGCTGAGTGGTTGTGAAACTGACAGTGTTGATTGGCCCTTTGCATAAAAGGCTTACAGAGCCCTGCTTTATGCCATTTGGGGGCTCCCACTGTGACAGACCCTATAGCCACAGTCCCAGCTATTCACCTTGGCATGGTACAGCCCTGCCCTCACAGCAGCACACAAATACACATGACAGGGGCCACGTACAAGCATCTTGCCTTAAGAGCATTCTGGTGGGCACAGTGGGCTCCAGACATAAGCTGCACAGAAGTTAGGAAGTCTTGTCATGCATACCCAGACATGTTATAAGCCACACACAGCTTGGGTCTCCCCTCCAGGGTCACATAGTCCAACTGCTGCACCCCAGCCCTCAGCTCCATGCCTGGCATAACACTGAGCCCCTGGGGATGTCCCTCTCCACGGAGCTGCTGAGGCCTCAGGCTCTTGCTAGGGAGTCCTGAGAGCCTGAGAACACGAAAACCCACCCCTACACCCTCCCCGCCACCATGCAGAAAAAGAGGCTCTTTCCATGGAGTTGCAAAAGCCTGGGATCCACTCTGCCATGTCCTTGGTTGTCACTCCTGCACTGCAAGGCCTGACCCTCAGCTTCCTAGCCTTAGGCTAAGAGTACTAAAGTAGGGCATTTCCAAACTGGTAGTTAAAGCAAGGAAAATGCTCCAAAGCCCAGCTCAACACTGCAGCAAGGACGTGGATAGACTCATCCAACAATATCAGGAGCTACTTTTCCCCCAACTGGAGGGTGGCTCAGTAGCCAGCATTTCCCACTAACATGCTGCTGTCAGGGTGGCTGAGCAAGAGTACAGAGCCTTCTGGGAGGATAGCTACTCACTGAAACCACAAACCCCGACTTCCTCAGGTGGGCTGGGTGGTGCGAGTGTCTACTCCAGGTGGCCAGAGGAAGAAAGCAGGGCATTACCGTATACACATCCACTCCAGGATCTCCAAGCGGTACTTCGAGGGGTTACATAGCAGTTCCTGAATCGTCTTTGGTTCTGTGATATACAGACCCTCTAGGAAGGGGCAGTTTAGTTCCTAAGCAAGGAAAGGGCATGCCAAAAGGTTTAGGAAGCACAACCAGTGAAAGGTCCTCACGAACTTCTGCAAGTTTTCATAATCCCTTCCTTCAGACACATCCTGAAGGCCAGCACCCTTCATGCTCTCCTTCCATCTTGCCAAGAGTTCACAATCCTCTCATTATCAAACCCACACCTCCTGCACTCTTCATCCCCATGCCTTCAAGTGTGTCCCCTCTGAGCTGTTGTGGCAGCAGGCCCTAGAAGCAATAGCTAGGACATCACATCTAAGCTCTCAGGCAGAGGGAGACAAGGAGAGACCACAGAGCCTGTCTTGGAAGAGTGGGCATGGGGCGGGGCCAGCAGAGTAGGGGGTGGGAAGAGATAAAGACCAAGGTGGCAGGATGAGGAATGGGGTGTAGGAAGGGAAAGGCGGGGCAGAGGGAGGGGCGAGTGGGCAAAAGGGACCTGGGACAAGCTCCCTGAAGTTAAGGACCTGGCTTCCCCACTGCTGCGTTGAGGGGTTTTGGAGACCACCCTTGGCATCTGACGCCGAGCCCCGTCTTGCCCACTTGACAGGGTAGCACTGAACTCTGCCCATCTGTCCCCCCAAGACCCTGCAAACTCCTTGAGGCCAAGGCATCCAGCCTGAGTCCTGCAGACTTCCATGAGTGGTGCTGACCTCTACTACCAGGTACGGTTGGCAAAGACAGCAAGAGTGAAGGGCTGGGGCACCTCCAAGAGCAAAGATGGATGCTCCACAAGCAGCCTCTTGCTGCAGGGTAACAAGGCACAGCCAGGACCAGCGACAGAAGCAGCGTGGCGCCGCCGCTTCCGCAGCAAACCCGCCCAGGCCTTGGGCAGGGCCCTCCCCAGCCCCCCACCCAGGGTAGCTTCCCTGGGCCCGCAGCACCTTCAGCTTCCCGAACACCTCCACAGCCGCCTTGAACACACTGTAGTCGCCCTCGCCCTCGTAATACCAGTCGTTGCTAGCGCCGCCGCAGCCAGCACCCCACCCAGCCATGTTTCGCGCTCCCAGGCGCAGCCCGCCCACGTCCCACCTCACGTGCAGGCCCGTCTGCCAATCACGAGCCGGCGCTCTTCCCGCCCACCAGCCTGGGCCGAGAGGCGGGGCCAGCTTCCTATTGACCTGAGGCTCGGCGGGTGCGGACGCTGGGACTCCCACTCAGGCTTTGGAGCCACCCAGGGGGCGGGCCACAGGGAAGGAGGAGGGATAATGGAAAGGGCCCAGCCGGAACTGCGGCTGACTCTTCGCAACCCGCCTTGCTGACGTAGCCCCTGGCAGGCAGCCAGGACGAAGACACGTCGAGGCGAGACTTGTACAGTAGGGGGCGCTCCTACCTCGCTCGGGTGTTCCTAGGTCACAGCTTTTAGGGGATCCTGGTCCCTGGGAGGATGAAGGGGAAACTTGAATGCAGAACAGAACTGGGACTTCAGCGCCAGGTTGTGTCTCCTGTTTACTATGCTCACACCTTAGTTAGAGGGAAGTTTCTTGAATTCAAATTCTGTCCCTGGTCATTAGTTGTGTGACTTTGCTTCAGTTACCTACCCTGTCTGTGCCTCCTTGCCCTGACCTACTGGAGATAATGAAAGCACCCATTTCATTGGGTCGCTAATGCGGATGGTATGAGATAATTCCTATGAGCTGGGTTTGGTGGCTCACACCTGTATTACAGCACTTTGGGAGCCAGAAGTAGGAGGATTGCTTGAGCCCAGGAATTCAAGACCATCCTAGGCAACACAGTGAAACCCAGTCTCTACAAAAAAATTTAAAAATTAGCCAGGGATGATGGTACACACCTGTAGTACTAGCTCTTTAGGAGGCTGAGGCAGGAGGATTGCTTGAGCCTAGGAGTTCAAGGCTACGGTGACCTATGATCACACCACTCCAGTCTGGGCAACAGAGCAAGGCCCTGTCTCTAAAATAACACCATAAATTAATTCCTACGAAATACCTAGGACAGTGCTTAGCCTGTAAAAGCCCCACATAACTGTTCACCATTATCATCATGCTGGGCTCTGCTCCCCTTAGTCCTCACCCCCAGTCTATCTGTGGCTCCTTCCTGCCCTGTCCACTTACAGATTTCTTTGCGTCTCTCAGATCTTTCAAACTCAATGAGTCTGGAATGAAATTTGTCATCCCCTCCCAAAACACACATCTAAACCCTCAATTCACTGAGTGCCCCCCTACCAGGACTGCTGATTGGGCAAGGCCTAAAGGAGTTGGAGGATCCCTTGTGCTCAGGAGCTGTGACCAGACTCTATCTCCCTCTGTGCCTGCCCTGCCATCTCCTGGGGCTGGGGAGTTGGAAGGAAAGTCTAGTCAGGGAGACCCAGGGACTTGCTAGGAGGCCACTTAAGTTATCCACATGACAGGACTTAGCTCTGTCCTGGGAGAAGGAGTGGGCAGGATCTGGAATAACAGGAAAGGACCTCAGCCCAACCTTGGGAGACACTGACACAGGTTCTACTAAGGTGGGACAGGGCCTGGCTCCCTATTGAATGCTCCAACAACATGGAGCCTCCAAACTTGAGCTGAAGGGGCCTGGACAGAAGGGCCAACAGCCCTATTCCAGGGACCCAGCCACCTACAAAGCACCTTATGGCCAGCCCCTCTCCACCCTTCCACATGGCTGCTGCCTTGGGCCCTTTTAAAAGCTAAAGGTTGGCAGAGCTTTGGGAGGGTTAAGCTTTTTTCTCTCTTTTTCTGTCTTTGTTTTTCTTTCTTTCTTTTTAGAAAATTTCATTTCAATCACAGTCCCAACTCAGACATTCAAATTCTTGTGGGTTTTCTGTGGATCTTTCCTAGGCCTGGGGAATTTGGCGGGAGAAACCACGGCAGTGTGGCAGCCTCCCCTCCCTCCCCATATCCTCTGCCCCTGAAGATTGGGCAGAAACCAGCCTCTGTGTATTCTGGAAGAGTATCTCCCTTCTCCACCCAGCTCCATGGAGCCAGTACTCTTAGCAGGCCTTTCCCCAACTCAGCAGTGCTGTCTATGGCACAGGGACATGTCCTTAAGGGGAGAAGCCCATCTTGAGAGGTTATGCAGACCGTCACCCCACATGGAGGACGTCTCAGTCATCCCTGAGGCCACGGAGATGGCTGGTGAAGACATTCCCTGCTCGCACCACCCTGAATTGTAGCACGTCTGAAACATCTTCCAATGGAAAGGCTAGAGGCTACGGTGGTAACAGAGGCTGCTGAGCCTCTTGGGAAGAGGGAAAGAAGGGGCTCAGCATCAAGAGTTTCTAGAAATATGGACTCAAGCTCAATACAAGGAAGCACTTCTCCCAGAAAGCACTGCCTAAACACCAGCTGAAAAAAAATAAATGATTAAATCAACACCAGCTGACTCCATAGAGAGGAAGGGAGCTCCCTATCTTGGAAGGTGTGCAAGCCCAGGGAGGTGGGCAGGGATATGGAGCAGTAGGGAAGGGGAGGAAAATCTCTAAGGGGCATTTCAGCCCAGAGATTGGGTTCTACAAGGAAGGCCTGGATGGGTCAGGGGCCAAAATGGGGCTGAAAGACCTGAAAGTGGGGCATTAGGGAGAAGCTATGGAGCCCTAGGCAGACTTGCATGTCACATGCAGCAAGAGACAACCTCCTGGTCATGGGAGAAACTCAGCCATGGGTCGGTGCTGTGAAAACAGATAGGAAATGAGACCAGCTAACAGGCAGTCACTAGCCCCATTGTGCCAGCGATGGGCTAGTGGGCAGTGAATGCATGTATGGCCCCTCAATTTGTGCAATGGACATGGAAATGTACAGCCAAGCAATGGGTTCACTGAATCAATTGGCCTGCCTTCCCTGCAGCAAGCATGGGAACAAGAGAAAGTCCTCAGGAGCATCTAAGCCCCAGTGTTCACATTGCTTCTAGCAGCAGACCACAGGATACAGTGAGAATCTTAGCTGGGACTCCCAGTAGTTACCACTGATCAAAGGAAGCCAGAGTACAAGGGCTTTCCTGTCCACCAAGGAGTCAGCTTGGCTTCCACCGCATCTGACAGGGGTTGAAGTTAGACCTGAGGAAGCACCCCTTCCCCTGGAGCACTGGGAGGAATGTGCTGTCTGAGTCGAAGCCCTTCCTGGGGCCACATCTACTCCTGTCCCTGAACAGGGAGCCTGAATACCCTCAACTCCACTCTGGAAGTTCCCCAGTAAGTGTAGAGAACACCAAACTCAGGCTGTTGAAGAAAAGGCAAGTGAAGGAGTGTGTGAGAGAGAGATTAGTTTCAGGAAGAGAATTCGGTGGTAAAACAAGAACGACATGGCAATGCCTGACATGGGATATTTGGGGGGAGATGACGCAGGGGATGATGACAGGCTGAGGATGGCCGAGTGTGGGACTCTCCCCAAGCCAGGCAAGGCCGGGAAGCCGCCTTCTCCTCCTCTCCCTCTCCCTGCCCCTCCCCTCTTCTTCAACCTTCCTTTCTCTCCTTCTCCTCCTCTTCTTCCTCCTCTTCTTCCTCACTTGGCCTCTTTCTCCCCTGCTCCTGAGCCACCGTGCAGGCACCTGCCTTGCAGCCAGCCCACACCATCTGGCCAGCCAGGAGACCACTCAGAATCCAACTCTCCTTATACAGATGGAAGGAGGGGTGGAGAACATGTAAGTGGGGGGCCATGAAAACGAGACTAGGAAGAACCCCAGGCTGAAGAGCCCCCAAACTTTGATGTGGGCAATAAGACCCAAAGGGTGCTGAGAGCAAGAATGACACTAACTTTCCCTGAGGTGGCTGTCATTCACTTGCGCTGAGGCCTGGGAACTGGCCTGGCTAAGCACACAATACTGACATCCCATTAAGTCCAGAGGACTCTAGAGCTGCCGCTGTGAGCCCTGGAGAAGTGGGCCTGCCATCGCTGTAAGCCTGGGAGAGTCCTGTGTTCTCTGGTCTTAACTCTGGATGAACAAGTGTCAACCTAGGATGTGACTGAAAATTGTCAACTCTAGAATGTTGTCATCCTACACCTCTGTGTCCACCTTCAGAGTTTATTGCCATATGAGGATGGGGAAGCTCCAATGGGACCTTGGCCTCCTCTTCTTGTCACTTCTAATCTCGGTGCCAGGGAAAGGACTGTGGCAATGAAGTCAGTGCCACCTTCACAGCACTACCTTTGCTTCATGTAGTTGAGGGACCCTAAGAGCTACCACCTCACCCTCACCCCAGGGCGCATAGCCCAGCACCTGGGTGGGACCTGCCAGGGTCCCCAGAGCCAGTGCACTGTCTCGCCCCTAGGACAGATCTTGCTCTAGGCCTGAGGCATCTGTGAGGGGCATGGGCAGAGCCTGGCCGAGTCAGGAGCAGCAGGGGCTGAGGGGCCTTCCTCTGTCCTCCTGCTCAAGGTCCCCTAAATGGGAGGAGACAGGCTGGGACCCCCGGGACTTCATGCCCTAGCCTCCTTGCTTGTACCAGCCTGTGTGCACACAGTGTGGGTGGGGGCCCAGCCGGCAAAGGAAAAACGGCCGGCTCACCCCTCCGCAGGGAGACACTCAGGTCTAGACGGCTTGGCAAGGCCAGCAGGGCTGAGTCACATGCGTCTGGAACTGGAGACACGGCCCCAGGACTGGAACATGGATGTGCCCGCTCAGAAGGCCAGCCGCAGGAGGGGCATTCAGCCTGGCTCTCTCCCCAGCCCCAACTGGGCCTGAGCTCGGATTTCTGCCCAGCCTCTGGGCCCCAGCCTGAGGCCTTCGATGCCTGCAGGGAGTCAGGAGGAGCCCACGATTTTGGCAGGAAGAAACTGGAACTCCAGGCGGGGAAGCTGGTCCACACATTCCCCATCGCTGTCATGGCCCTGCTCCCTATGGGCCACCCCTGTCTTCATGTCACCTCTGCAGTCCACCTACCAACGGACACCCTCCCCAGGGACACTCACAGCCCAGGCACTGAAGGCCCAGTGTCGTCCATTCTGGTGGACAATGCTCCCTACTCCTCTCTGCTTGTGTGTTCCCTGGTCACAATAGCATTTGTGAGAAACGTTTAATTGGGACCAGATCCTCTGAGTTTTCAATGGCATTAAAACAAAGA